ATGCAGCTTTCGGATTGTCTGCTTCCGAACTCGAATGTTAGCTTTTAGGTGGATTTCATGGCCCGCGAAAAATGCCATAGGTTTCGAGTGGAAGGACCTGCAAATACAAATTTCAGTTTCAGCCACATCTCGAAACCCTAAAGCTCAACCCGATCCTTAAACCCCAAACCCTAATTCCTAAAGCCCTAAACCCGAAACCCTAAATCCTAGAGTCCTAAACCCCAAACCCCTGAATCCTAAATCCCAGCCGACGTCTGAGAGGAGCCACGAGAAGAACTCCGAGGCACCGGCGGCCTCGGCCCAATTGGCCTTGGCGCTGGGGTCAGCGAGATATAAAAGACCAGAAGAAGAACTCTTACTAGGGTTTGGGATTTAGCTTTAGGGCTTTGGGTTTAGGGTTTAGGGCCAAGGGTTTAGGGTTTAGGGCTTAGGGTTTAGGGTTAGGGTATGCTAACATAAGATGTAAAGAAACCCAAGATTTCAATAACGCTCGGTAATGAGAGCAATACCCACAAGAATCTGGCAAGAATATGAGTGGCAATCAGCATCCTCCCGCTTTGGGTATAGAATATGGTCCCGGTGCTCCGCAATGTTTGAATAATGTCAAAAAGGAGACGAAGAAGCAGAAGCAGAAGAAGAAGAAGAAGAGCACAGGATCCCGAGGTAGTCCCCGAATGAGGCTCCCTCGCCTGTCCCACCCTCTGCGAGGGCAACTTAACCAATCGAGATTTTTCACAGCCTGCACAGATTCAGACGAGAGGCCACAGGCAGAAAGTCCAGCTGATGCATAAGCTGATAGTTCAAGGCGACCTCAGCACGCTCGAGATCTGGCGGTAGCAAAGCCTCCGCACCTCCGAGGCTCTTGCCCAGAACTCTTCAGCAGTCAGCACTAGCTCCTCGTTGTCGATGACCTACATACCAGAAAAAATCACAAAAAAAACTAATAGAATTAATAATAATCATCATACCAGTAATTCTACACCAGTACAATGACAAGAATACCAATAATAATAGCAATAGCAACAGCAGTAGCCTTTCTACACCAGTGCAGAAACGCACTCCAACCGGTCGAAGCTGAAAAAGAGCTCCCCGCGCGGTGGAAGGAGATGGACTGAAGAGTCTTCGGCCTCGGACATGCCACCCTTTAGGGTTTAGGGTTTAGGGATTTAGGGTTTTAGGGTTTAGGGTTTCGGGTTTAGGGCTTTAGGGTTTAGAGTTTAGGGTTTAGGGTTTAGGGTTTAGGGTACCCTGGGAAACCCGCCACCTGGGTAGTTTTCTAAATTCCCCTTTTGGGGTCCTTTTTATAAAAGTGCCGTACTATATTGGGGACCTAAAAGGGGACCCTAATTTAGAGAACTACCCACATATCAGATACCATAGCAAAGGCAATGTCAAGAACAATGGTAATGGTTACCTACTAACAATAACAACAGCGGTCAGAATAAGAGTAAGGCCAAGAATGACAGTAACAGTAACAGTGGCTCTTCTGTCACTATTACTATTTAGGTTATGAATGAAAACCATACTGATGATTGTCACCATCATAACTACTATCATATAACTGTAACAATAGTCATACGTCTACTACTAATAATAATAGTAGAGGAAGAATTCCAACAGTAATTAATGTACTCATTTTCATCCTGATACGAAAGATACCAATAATAACAGCAACCATAACCCTAAACCCTAAACCCTAAACCCTAAACCTTAAACCGTATTACCGAGGATAAGGAAGACAACCGCCTTGCAGTCCAAAGCGCAAGGTTTCAGCGTCGGCCAAGAGCCTGGGCTCCCAGGTTTAGGACCCACAAAGCCTCGCGCAAAGCTCTGAACTCTCCAAGGCACTCGTCCATCAACTGCCCGTGGTAAAGAAGTCGGAGGATGCTTGGGAAAGCCTCGCGGAAAAAGAAAGCAACTGGAGGAGCGGTCATAAAACCAAGGGAGAAGAGCCTCGATCTGCTTCATCTCCACCTCATTCACCAGCTCTCGAAGCTTTGGTATCTTCTCCTGGCATGGCAGCTGTCTACGTTGTTCCGAGTTTCCTGTTCCGACTCACATTGCAGTAACAGAGGCCCACTGACCTCCCCCTCGACTGCACCTCACAGACCTGGCCTTCTCCATGGGAAAGTAGTTTGTCCCCACACCTTCCAAGGGAGGCTCTTGGCAACTGCACTAGCGGATGCTGTCTCAGGCGTACCCAGTATGCTGTGCAGGAACATCACCCGCGGCCTCGGCGAACGTATCACTTTGGAGGAAACCGACTGATCTTTTCGTCATGATATCGACTCCTTGCCGATGCTGTGAGCTACACTGTGGGCCCGGCGAGTGCCCCTTGAAGTGCGCCATGCTGTACTCGAAGCAAAACCTGTGCTCTCCGTGGACCCAGTGACGGCATGTCACTTCCTGCGAGGCTCGTCGCCTGAGGTGATCCATGAAGCTGCCATCCTTGGTGAGGCCACAGACTGCAGCCGTGGGGGTATGAAATGCCTGAAACTTCCCCAAGACCTGGACCTAAACCGGACAAAAAGCATCTCAGGCGTCCCAGTTCAGATTTTGAGGGTCCGACGGCATGCTCCATGCAGAAGTTGCACTCGGTCTGCATAAACCTTCGGAAAGCTCGAAGATGCCACGCAAGTAACGAAGACCGGAGCCTCCCCCTCCCTTGCTACAGGCTTTACCGAAGCCAGAGGTACCGACGGCCATCGATGGAACCACGGGGGAGGGGTTTAGGGGGGGCCCAGGGGCCGAAGAGTAAAGCACCGCATTGCAATATGCCATGCCCTGATCACTCAGGAGTTCTCTGCGAACCAAGAGGTTGCTCGGAAAGTCGGAAACCCGGACCTACTCCCGTGGCTTCCGTAACTAGGAGCATCACTATGACCACAGCTGCCACAGCCACGATGCCTATCACGTGCTGCATCCTTGCTATTTGAGTCTTCCACTAGCGGCTGTGACTCGTCACAAACCCGGAGGGAGCTTGTAAGTCGAGGCGCTCGAGGATGGGCGCATCGAAACGAGGCGCTGCAGGCACCTCGCACGAAGCCATGTCACGCCCCAAGACCAGAAAGTTTCCCTCCTAGCAACCTTGACAGCGACCGCTGTAGAACCTAAAAAAAGAGCCCGAAGGAAAACCCGAAATAGAGAACATACCATAAAAGCCCATCTTCTCTCCAGCGCCTTGTTGAAAGACTCGGAAATCTGGGTGGTAGATCGATCCGACCAGTACACTTCCACTGAAAGTCGCTCCTGCCACTGTCGGTCCCTCGCAGGTTCACTTCGGCAGCTCCCATCATCAACCCGACCTGGGCCATCATTCGTGGCAACTTCTTGTCGACACTCTTGAAGATCGTCTTGTCCTCTGAGCAAAACATTGCATCCTTCGAAGCCCGGCTCGCGAAATCAAGCGGCAAACTCAGTACTTGACCAGGTCGAAGCCATCAGCTCGGTGCACCTTGGCAGCAAAGACGTGGCTGCGGCGGAATGTTGACAACCAGGTAGCAGCATGCTTGCATAGTCTTTTGTATGGTTTTAAATGACTCTGCTACGGCAGCCGCGGCCGCTGCTCGTCCACTCGCTTATCCAAAGCTGTGACCGAGCTTCTCGCGATGATGCTGCCTTGCCAGAAGGACAGCAGTCATAATGTATTTCACACACTATATGCTAGATGGTTTATATTGTATATTATATGTTTTATGGTATAGGTTATGCATTATGCCTCATATATGTCGTCTAATATGTGTTATGTTTATATATTGTGTATACTGCTCTTAGTATGTTATATGTTAGATATTATGTATGTTTATGTCGTCTGCACTACGTGCTACGATTCGATATTGATGCTGTATACTATATCTTACATCATGTATGCTATATATATATATTGCATTTTGGTGATTATATGTGAGATGACACATTATATAGTATGGCATATACCTTATCTTCTATATGTGTTAAAAACTTACATTGTGATTACATACGTTGTATGACATGAATAGGATCGTTGATAATCGATCACTGCCATATGATACAGTTATGTACGTGGCCTTATATGCTATATCTTATACCCCGAATCTTGTAATGTATATCTTATTCCCTATATACCGAAAGTTATACACATATATATATATACATGTATGTATGTATATATATATGTATGTATGTATGTGTGTGGATGCATGTATGCATGTATTTATGTATGTAGGCATGTATGCATGTGTGTGTGTGCGCGCGCATCTGTGTGTATGTGCATATACATATAGGTGTATCATGTAGTTAGTTAGTTAGTTAGTTAGTTAGCTAGCTAGCTAGCTAGTTAGTTAGTTAGTTAGTTAGTTGGTTCGTTCGTTCGTTTGTTAGTTCGTTAATTCGTTAGTTTGCTTGTTTGTTAGTCAGTCAGTCAGTCAGTCAGTCAGTCAGTCAGTCAGTTAGTTTGTACTGATTAATGAAACAACTGTACAGTTAACTATACTCATTTTATACGCATCATATAGTAAGTTCTTCATGATATATCTAGGTTCTAGATGTGTATGTATATATATATATATACACACTAATGTATTGAGGAACTTCAGCTCCCCTTGTTTTGGGGCTCCAGCTCCTTAGGGTCCATTATTAGGGGCCCTCTTATGTTCTGCAACACACAGCTTTTTGGCAGCTACCCGGGTGGTAGAAGCCGGCTGTGTCCGAGTGTCGGCTGCAACTTCCCTGAAGAGGCCTGCATGGTCAATCGGCTTGCCCTCGGCGATCATCGCCTTCCGCCGAAGATCCAGCAAGCCTTGGGAAATTTCAAGCTAAGTTTCAAGAAGGCTGCATTATGCCAGACGGAGGTGGGTTCTATTGAGACCAAAGCCTGCTCAGGGAGGGGTACCTTGAGTGTCGGGCCATATTGCAGGTCATCAGGGCCACCTGAGATGTGCGGTCGCTTGCTGATTGCTGACGCTAGCCCTCGGCAGCGTCACGTCCCTGCCTTCCTCCTGAGTCGGAGCCATGGTCCGGAGCTACCAAGCCAGCTGAACGGTACAGAACTATGAGGCTGCTGGATCGAGTCAACGTGATCGGTTGGGCTCTGAAGTGAATCGGACTTCAGCCGTCTTTGGTGCAAAATGCTCAAACACATGTCGTTGTTCCTGGCTTTGATGTTGCCATGGCTGCCGGCACATGACCCAACCAACAAAAAGTTACAGCTTGCACCAAAGGATCGTGGCTGCCAGCTGGTGGAATCTGCAACTGGGCTTTAGCAAGGCGCCTCTGCTTCCAGCTTGACCTCCTGGCCCAGACTGTAGGCCCCAGAAATCTCCGGATACCTGGCATCCGGGGCATCCGGGGGCATCCGGATCTCGACGGAAGAAGACTCCAGGTTATCTTGTGGCGGACGCTCCGGAATCCTGTGCAGCCGCCGAGAGGCTGTTGGAAGTGCGGTCGTTTCCACAAGGAGTCTCTTCTCTGGCTCTGGGCCCTCTCCCACTTGGAGGTTCATGGGTGGTTATAAGCGGGGGTATAAGTCCCCTGATGTAGTTACCATACTTAATACATTAATAACCCCACTTATAACTACCCACGAACCTCCAAGCACATGTCATACACGGCTGAGGGGGCTGCACCAAGACTGCAGTCTACTCGGAGAACCCATCTCTGTATCGATCTCCAAGCCCCCCCCCTTTCAGGAAGAAGGATCGGGAACAGCGTGCAGCCGAGCGCACCGGGCTCTTGATTCAATTCTGGCACGTCTTGTTACTCAACTCAAGCTGCTCTTAAGCCCTAAACCCTAAACCCCCCCAAACCCAAACCCTAAACCCTGAACCCTAAACCCTGAACCCAAACCCTAAACCCAGACAGATTTGTGGGTTGGGCACAAAGCAGGCCTGAGGTCATGAGGCTTCTCAGGCCGGATCGTCAAAGTGAGCTGCGAGTCTGCGCTGCCCGAACCCGTCGTGGCAGTCACCTCACCGGGGGTCCCAGAGATTCCAAGCGGGAGAGAAAGCAACCCTCAAAGCCCTGAACCCCTAAACCCCCCAAAGACCCCAAAGACCCTGAGCCCCCAAACCCCTAGACCCTCAAACCCCTAAACCCCTAAACCCCAAAGACCCCAAAGACCCTGAGCCCCCAAATCCTCGACCCTGAACCCCTAAGCCCCCAAACCCTAGACCCTCAAAGCCCTTCAACCCCACAAAAACCCTGAAAGTCGATGCGCCGGCACCTGAAAGTCAGTGGTCGGCAGCGGGCTCAGCGGGGTTCCCGTGACCCGGCCAGTGGCCTGGTTATAGGGTTTAGGGTTATGGGGTTATAGGGTTATAGGGCTTTCGGGCTTTAGGGCTATAGGGTTATAGGGTTTTAGGGTTTAGGGCTTTAGGGTTTAGGGCTGTTGCACCATAAAGGGGACTTTTTTTGGGTGTATGCGCGAGTGGGTACTTATGTATGGACTATGTAGGAACCATGCAGGGATATGTTTACTGACGAGCCTGCGTTACAGTGCACAAATACAGGGACCATAAGGGTATGTTTTTGGTCTACGTCAGAGTGTGTACTTATGTAGGGAATGTACGGAGGTACTATGGCTAACGATTATGATTATGGCCCCGTATATGAACCGAAAGGCAACCCGAGAAGTCTTGGAGCACCCCTCCACGTGGGTAGTTCTCTAAAGTAGGGTCCCTTTTGGGGGTCCTTCTTATGAGGGTGCCGTGCTATATTGGGGACCTACAAAAGGGACCCTAAATTTAGAAAACTACCCCACTTGGGCAACCCTAGGGCTCCTCGTCGAATCTGAGGCCGTCAGGAAGATCAGGGCCTCACATCACTTTGCTCTCCCAAAGAGTTCCGATGGCCAGGGTCTCGAAGGGGGCTACGGTTTAGGGCTTAGGGTTTAGGCGGTTTAGGTTTAGGCTTTAAGTCGCCACGGATACAAACGCAACGAAGGTGCTGGGAGGCCCGTCCGGGGCCCCTGCTGACACTGAAAGTTGCATCTCCGGCCGCCTCGCGAAGCGAAAGACTACCCAGAGAACCCAATACTCCTTAATCAAAAGTATACCTTAAATTGTAGGGGCCTTAATATTGTAATTTAAGGTATATTCCTGAATTAAGGGGTATTGGGTTCTCTGGGTACCTGTTCCCGGCATGCGCAAACTGGACACCCAGCGGCAGTCCTGCGGCGACAAGTCGACTGCCTCCCCGACGAAGAGCACAGCTCCACCCTCACATGGTACTTTCCGAAAACTAGGGGTACCTTATTTTGGGGTCCTTATAATAAGGATCCTACTATTTAGGGTGCTATATTAGGGTCCCCCTATTTTCGGAAAACCCCACATTCTGCACGTCAGCGCTGAGGTGACACATTCCGCCAGCCAGCCAACATCACGCTACTCTACACCGTTTCGCCTCCTCCAAACCATAGTTGGGCGGCTTTGGTCCAACCTCAGCGGTATGTAGCTCTTAATTCAGGTCTGATAGTGTGTTTCCAATCCACCCCTGAAGGTGCAGAGCTCCGAGGACAGCACACCTTTCACCTCCAGCTGAAGGGTAGTAGTTACCTCCACAAACCATCGGGATCAATGCTGCCACGTAGGACTCGTTGTTCTATAAGCCAGTAACAGGCATCGGATCTGCCAGCCATAAAAAATTAAACTCTCAAGCCTAAACTGCGCCAAACTGCAAGCAGCCAAAAACCCTGACGCATTCGACGTTGGAACCCAAACTCCCTGAGGAAGTGCAGACGCCTTAAGCAGTGGTTTCGGTTCAAGGGCTTGGTCAGTTTATGGCCCATTGATCTTGGCTCGACAATTAACGGACAAGGACGATTAAGACAAGAATAACTGAAAACAACTAGAATACCAAGCGTAATAGATAGCACGGCTCAGCAGGGCACCTATGGTAGTGCCCAGACAAATCTCGCCAACACAAAGCTTTGTGGCTGGTCTTGTCGTTGTGTCCCTAGTAGCATTTAGTAGCTATAGCAGTAGCAGTAGCAGTATATAGAACTGGTAGTAGTAGTAGTAGTCGTAGTCGTAGTAGTAGTAGTAGCAGTAGTAGTAGGAGGAGCAGCAGCAGCAGCAGCAGCCGCAACAGCACCAGTTGCAGCAGCAGCAATAGTACCATGGGGGGGAGGGCTGTTTACGTCTCCCTTTAAAGATTCGCAATTGAATCGTAGATGCTTATCCAAAAGACGAATAGAAGGAGGCTAAAGAGCCGCAACTTCGAAACGGCACAAGGTTCTCACAGTCCCTCACATGCCGCTGACCCGGAAGATCGATAGAAGTCATGGAGGAAAGCAGAGTTTCAATCGGTAGCTTTGGATAACCTGTCATGCGGACAAACAACGATGCAGCTCACGCACCTCTCCCCCGGAATTTGCGGCGCAAAATGTGTACGCTGCCGGCTCCGCTGCCTTCAGAAAGGTCTCTGGATGCGAAGCAATGCAACCCCGGTTCAGTAACCAGTTTGTAATATGACCCTCGTATGTTGCTTACTGTCACATCCATCCGACATGTCATGGACATCCATCGTACAAACCAGAAAACACTCCGTGGACCAACGGGCTGAGAGAGATCCGGAGGCCAAGACGTCAACAGAAGACGCTGCCGAGCCAAGACGACCCGGAATGCTCTACCACTGGAAAAAAGTGAAGACCAAACACAACTTAGTCAATGCTACATCAGATTCTGTACATTGGACGTCCCCCCTTGAAGTCGCATGTACTGGAGGCATCAGAACTCCAGGTTGCTTGACGTCTTGACACGAGTTCAATAACTGTGGGAAAACGCAAGCGAAGAGAGAAAGTAGTAAAGGGTACAATAACTTCCTCCCAACATTGTCTCTTGAAAGCATGTGTTGTGAACCGCTGCAGCTGCATGAGGGAAGCGGAAGCTGAGAACACCCGCTGCCGCCGTCTGGTTCTCATCCAGACTCTTCGCGAATGCGAGGTGACATCGGACTACCGAAAACATCTGGTACCAGACACTGGCCAACCAGCATGGCAACCTCAATACCAAGCCCATCAAATTCATCGCAAGGCTCCGACATCTCGCTACGGATCTAGGATTCCGGGCTTCTTAGGCTTTCGACTCTCTCTGAGGCTCAAGGCAGGCAAGGCTTCAGGCAACAAGTCCAGTAAGCTGCTCCGTGCACATGTCGGACGTAGGACTTCTGTTCCTTGTGTCTGCTGATGCACCGCCAGCGTGAACACACGAGGGCCAAAGATGTTAGCCAACCCACCAGCGCCAGCTGGGACGTCTTCGTCCCAGCCAATCCAAGCCCTTGTGTGGCGTTTTCGCCATCCGGCCAACATGTCTTTCGGGTCGGGATCTCGCACGGAAGCGGTCAACGAATTCGCCGGATCTCTCATCAAGCACGAAGTGAACGAGTTTCTCTAAGAGTTGCCATGCGACTGCTGCAAGGGTTACTATTGGGCTAGCTGCTTCCGCGTCGGACAAGGGCTTCTGCCAAGCTGAATGTGATATGATACGGGTCCAAGCAGCAACATGAAAAGCACTCTATCTGCAGCCCCCGCTTGACTGCTTCATATTGCCTGGGTTTGAGGCTACACAGCGGGCCAGAGAGCTTCCACAGCAGCACCATTGGACTGCCAACAAGGCTCCGTTCAACAGGCAGCAACACCAGTATGTTTGTTGGATGGCGGCATGAATTTGGAATCAGAAGCCACATACCACATGCCCATGTCGATGTCTACGCCTACAGCCAAGGCAAGCAACATTTCGCTTCCCGCCATGCAGAGAAGCTCAATGCAAAGTCTGGCTGTGGCATTTGGATTGCTGCGCTTGCGTCTCTGTATGCACTGGCACAGGATTGGTCCGGTACAGACCACGCACTATGGCTCTCTCCTGTCTACCTTTCCTCCGGACAAGCAATGCCGAAGCTAAACCTAACTGGCCTTCCAATCGGAGCCCAATCTTGGAATGAGGATTCAAAAGTCTTCGTGACGGTCTGAGCTCTTATATGCTCGGGCATATTGCCCTTGCAGTCGTAAGGAGTGCTTCCGCGGCTGCACGGGGTCTGCACCGAAGTAGAGGAGCAAACGAACCATGTGCCAGTCTCTCTCCTTTGTGGCGAGATGAAGTGGATAGGTTCGGTACAAACCACCAAACGACTTTTTGGAAGCATTGACATCGAAGCTGTCAATGTGAATGCCGTACTTACTTACAAGAACTTGTCCACTTGAGCATTGGCCTTCTGCGGATTAGACTGCTGCACCCGGACCTTTTGAAAGGTTAAGCGACGACATAAGGAGAGGTGAGACTTTCCAGGGGCGTGAGTGAGTGAGTGAGTGAGTGAGTGAGTGAGTGAGTGAGTGAGTGAGCGGCGAGTTGCACACGGTGGGATGCGCAACAAGCCCTGCCTAAGGCGCCGATCCGTCCCGGCTTCTCGGGGGGCTCCGCAAGCGTCATTGCCCCCTCCTCTTGGAGTTCATGCTGGCGAACGCCTCAACGTTCCGAGGCCAGCAAGGCCCAGTCAAGCAAGAGGGCCAGAATGCCTTCGCACGCCGCAACAACTAGGCAAGCCCACCACCAGCAAGCTGGCACAGGGCAAGACAACGTGCCATCCTCGCAGAGGTGCATGCGATATGGCTCTTCCCCGGAAGGTCACCCTTCAGGGTACTAGGCCAAGCAATCAATGTCGCCTCCGCATCGGACTACGCCCGTGCCAATCCTGGCCAACACGCTTCTCCGCAGATCCCTCTACGGATACTAATACTAAGTGTCTGACGCGACCCCTGAAAAAGGGGAGATGGCAAAAGCCATATCCATCCTCCCGCCAGCTAGTCTCACGTCAGTCTACCCTCGGACTGAGTGGGTGAAAACCAAAACTGTGGCCAACACCCACCAGGGGAGCAAACCACCAGCTTGAGCCAAATTGTTGCGTTTTGACTTGGGTTTCAGGGTGTGGCGAAAAGATTCGCCGGAGTATACGGGGTGGTATCTTGGATAGCGTGACGAAGAATCCCCAAAGGTCCGCATGAAGAGATGAAATCGACTTAGGACTAGCGGTAGTTACAAGGGTTACCAGAGGCGCCTGAGTCGGAGCTCCCGTAATGGCGCCCGTGTCGGCGCCCAGCACCTCTCAACTTGGGCGCGTGCGCTCTTGCGAGAGGCTACGGAGTTTCTCTTGGGATGCGACCAGCCCAGGGGGCAGATCAGGCGACACCGACCTGGCAACTCCGAGCAGCTTGAAGTGACGTAACACAGGTGAGCTCTTTTGCTTTCAGGCTCTGACCATTTGGTTGCGTCACCACCTTCGATCGTCGGGGCCCAGCTGACCGCCTCGGACAGTTCTGAAACATGCCCAGATCAGTATGCCTTGCGGCCGTGCAAGAATAATGAAGAGCCAGGCACCAGCCGACTGAGGGAATCCTGCCATGTCCTGCCTGAGCCTCCAAAAACAGCCTTGACACTAGCTGCTAGCTTGGACGAGTCCTCCGCCTGTGTTGAAAGCCCCCCGGCTCAGGTTTCGGAGGGCTGTTCGTCTGAAGGCACAGTCTAGACATACCTCTTCTGCATAAAATGACGCACCCGACGCCGTGAGTCGTAACTTCAATCCCTCGCCCGCCCCTAGAAGACCGTTGGCGATTGTCTTGGGAACAAGACGCTCTAGGATCTCCAAGTTGGAGTTATCGACACGTCCCCGGCAAAGGTATCTGGGGAGTCGACTTGACCAACATCAAGCACAGCTAGGGCAGTTGGATACCTGGCAGGGGACGGGACAAGCCTGTTCAGGCAAGCTTGCGTTCTGCTTCCGTCCCACACTCGGACACTCGGAACGCAGGCGTGGACAAACCCACATCGCGAGCCGCGCACGAGAACGTCACAGGGGGCGTCTCCTTGACTGCGAAGCATAACTCAGCCTGAGCCTTGGAGCAGCAAACAGACCAATGGACCGGAGAGCAAGACGAGCAGATGTAACCCTCCGCCTGCTTACCGGACTTTCCCAAACTCCGGGCCGCCTGCCTCACCTGCTTCGTTCTTGGCAACGACGGTGTAAGTGGCCTGGCAAAAAGCTCCTCGACTCCCGAAGGTAAAGGGGGGGGTGTCGAACTGCCTCGTCGAGCAGCTTGTTCGGCAAGGCACCAGAAATTATCCTGAGTGCACGCATGCACGTAGGCATGAAAGGTAACATACTGTCACGCAATGCTATGGATGGTGTCATGTAGTGTGTCGTGTAATGTCGTGATGTCATGTCATGGGGTGTCATGTACCGTCATGTACAGTGCCATGTATGGTGTCATGTTATGTCATGTAATGTCATGTAGTGACATGTCATCACATGTAATGTACTGTCATGTGGTGCAATGGTATGTATGTATGTACGTATGAACCTGCATAGATGTTGCCTAGGACCGTGCGCGCAACAACCCATCTGTCAAGCCTCCGCCTTTCACCTGTCGTGCTTGCGTAGCTTATCCATTTCTCAGCAATTGTACTATTACTTAGAACTGTATCTATATACATGTACCTATTTATGTGTCTATGTATGTGCTCATACAGTTTATGCATGTGTACGCCTATTTACCTGCGACACAAAGTACAGTGCCCATGCTGAGACAACTGTGCATGTGTGTGCTTATCTACATGGATATGCATCTGAATCAAGTGTACATTCACAAAGGCAGCTTCTACAAGCATGTGTGCATGTGCCTAAATATAAAAGAATCTATCATATTATACTACACCATCATATAACATGATACAATATAATAGAACATGACACGATAAAACCTACTATAACATAATATCGCATGATATAACACAATATAGCATATTATAGCATAATAACAAAATACATAGCGTAACATTTCACATCAGAGAGCATAATGTAACACCAAAAGATAACATAATCGAACATAGCATGACATGATAAACCATATTATAGCTTGGCAGAACTTAATGCAACTTTTTAAAGCATAAGCTAACATAACATAACATGATATAGCAAAATACAACACAATACAACGTCATATAAAAAATACAACATAATGGTGCGTAATATGTCATCAAACTAAAAATAGAAGTTACTGTTATTTAACAAATTTTACCAAAAAATGATACACTAATCTATAACATGATATAAGCTCATCTAACCTAACCCATTCTCATAAAGTAAACCCTAAACCCTAAACCGTTTTGGGGATTCGGGATGGCATCATGGCTTAACGTATTAAAATATGATAGCTTGGAATGGAATAGAAAAGAATAGAATCGAACAGAATTGCATGGCATAGAATAGCATAGAATAGAAATGAATGGAATAGAATAGAATAGAATGGAGCTTATATAATATAGCTATATGCATATACATATATATATATATATCACATCTGAAAAGTAAAGGAACTTGCATCGAGGTTGTATGCCGAACCCGAGCCGACGGCCCAGTAGATGCATCGAGCTCCAGGCCCTTCGCAGGACTGCAAAGCGCTCATCGGAGCATCCGGGTTCCCTTTCAGGTTTAGGGTTTAGGGTTTAGGAGTGCTTAGTTCAGCGACTCAGAACAAGTCGGCCTCAGGTAGCGCAGGAGATACTTCAAAAGAGCTCACCTGGCTGGGGTGGAGAAACCGGTGGGGAGGCTTCACTCAGAGATGCCATTCGCCCACGCTGAGCCGCTTTTGTTGGCCCTGCGCCCATACATCCATCAGGTATAGACCGCGGACCTGAATTAAAAAAGCTCGTTGACGCAAAGAGCTAGCTTTGCATCCACACAAACGTAATTTTCGCCGGAGCCATTTCGGGCACTCCTACGTGTCGGGACGAGAATGGCCTTGCCATTTGAGGCCTTTACCACACATAGTCCTGGTCTTATCATCTGACTCCACATCGATACAATGACAACCAGCTGCCGGCAGCGAGGACACCATGTGCCTTGCCAACAGTACAGGCTTCGTCCGATCGTCGCTGAAAGGCTCACAAGCTAGATTCTTTCTGCGCTGCATAGATCCCTCAGCGCTGAGGGCATTAAAAAGCTGCGGGCTGCATCTGCGCTGCAAAAGTGCCCTAGGCCCTATGTTGGACATAAGGAAAGCGATATTTCTGCGAGGATCTGAATCTTCAGCAAGAGGACATAAACAAATCCTGTCTTGTTCCTCTGATTTGCTCAAGAGTCGGATCCTCCTGGACAGAGGCTCATCTCGGAAGTGCTCGGGAGCTCAAGGGAAACTGGCCTGGCACCGGGCACTGCGTGTTTCTCAAGCTGCTAGAAGAATTTTGTGGCTACTCCATCGCGAGCATCTGCAAAGCTCTGGGCACAGTGATCTCAAGTGTTAGGAGCTTACGAGGTTGCGCCTGAAGGGTGGCATGCGTACCAGTAAGAAACAGAGCCGGCACGAAGATGGTAAAAAGTACCTCAGCGATGCATCTTGGGAAGCGTTTGCAAGCATGTCTCTGCTACTCTAGGCCACAGGCAGTGATGAGGGTGTTCTTCCCTCCGGTCAGCACACCCTTGTTGTGCAGAGTGATCATGAAGAGCGCCGTGCTCGACCTGACGCAAGCAAGCAAAAACACCCGGAGCTCCCGCTACCCCTGTGCTGACATTCACTGAAGTTACTGAGTCGCTCCTTCCCAGCTCATGCCACTGGCTTCAGCTTGATGTTTGACATACTGCCTGAAGGTTCACGGGTTTTTGTAGGTCGAGCATAATGGTTGGAGCAAAGTTCCCGCAAACGAATAAGGTCTAGACTCTAGATCCATATAAAAAAAAAACGTAGACGACACCTCCGGAAGATGCAGGATTTTTTTAAGCTCAGCCGCTGGAATTCGGACTGAAACAAGCAGCCTCACGTCATCTTCGTACCTAAACGAACGGCAGCAATCTTTGATTCGGGATGTCCCTTGATCTTCCATGACAACACTTGTCGCATTTGTACACAACTCCCTGCCCATACTTGCTCTCGCCGCCCGCGTACCAGGCGGAAAATGCTTGCAACTGTGAGAGGCCCGACTTGTCGTCCAGTGGCCGCTTACCATAGGAGCAATGCCGCGGGCAGCTATCGAGGAAGACACCTCGCTGCGGATGCGTCACCACCTGATGCAGCGTTTCAGAGAGATTCGCTGCATAGTCCATGATACAACCTTTGGAGGCGCGACAGGCAGAACCCATCTCGCAGCTCTGTTGGTCAAGATCGAAGCGGCTTTGGAATACAAAAAAAGGAGTCTTCAGGAAGGCGGCCACAACACTTCCTATCAAACACTTCTCCAGGTGGTCGCGATGCTCAGAGGCACAGCCGGCATTCAGCAAGCTTGTCGCTGCTTGCCTCTTCACCACATATCTCTTCAGCGGCGTGAAAATGTCCAGATCCATGTAGAAACCAGAATCAGGCAGTCCAACGACTCTGGCGCTTGGGCTAAAGCCACTGACAAGGTCTTTCAATTCATCGAGATGTGCAAACACACGGATGGCGCCCGCGCTGCAGCCGCTGATGACGACGTCCGTTGCGTTGGAAAGTCCGAATTTTGTGAGATCTTGGAAGACGGCCTGCGTGATGTGTTTTCCTCGGAAGTAAATAACAGAGTCATCCACCTTGACAGGCTCTGCTGCTTCACCAGAGAAATAGCCACCGTCACAGTACCTAAGATAGACATGGTTCCAGTTGTACATCAAGGGGTTCTCATCCTGTGACCGAGACAGCTTCAGGTTATTCAGGGATCCGAAGTCCATCGTGGAAGAGTCCTTGGCCGTGCTGCCCAGTGAAGAGCGAGACCGCTTCAGGCAGTCGGCATCTGAAGCGCAGAAGCCGCCGCCCTCATGGAAGACCTGGAACTTCGAGACACCGCTGCCCCAGCCCTCGCTGAAGTAGTAGAGCCCGGAGCTCCCGTCCAGGCAGCGCGCCAACGGGTAGCCCTCGGATGGGCCCACGAAGTGAGCCTGAGCCTTCGGAGCCCTCTGAGGCTCAGAAAAGAGCGGAAAAACTCCCAGGCCTCGGTGTCGGACGTCCGAAAGAAGGACGTAAGCCACCGGGACTGCAAGGAGCAAGGAAAGCGAAGCCAGAAGCCATGCCATACCCCTCTCTTACGGGGCACAGATTGAGCTACTTAGGTCTTAGCCCGCCCCCCGCCCCCGCACCAGGAAGCTTGATCGCGCGCGTGCAGAGAGACGGTGACTAGACGAGGCTTCTGCCCAGCATGGGGGGATGGCGTCCTGGGCTTCAGGCATGAAGAGTCCTGTGAGGCGGACGTCTGCAATAGTCCATGCCTGCCCGAGGCGCACACTTGGAGGTTCATGGGTGGTTACAAATGGGGTTATAAGTAGGTTACCTATAGTTATAACCCATGTTAGGGGACTTATAACCCTAATTACAACTAGCCATGAACCTCCAAGCAGGGCTCAACATCGATGCAGCAAGGCCAACATCCGACCCCTCTGCCTGGTCTGGCAGGTCAACCACGACGTGCTCCCAGTACCTGCAGTTAAGCACGGATCAGATCTTTGCAAGGCTCTACTCTTGAGGTTGGAGGTTGGCAGCTTTCGTCTGAGTGATCTTCCCCCAATCGACCGGTCAGACCATTCTTGACGGGACTCGCTCACATGAAAATCTAAATTGGTCTCCCTGCCGTTCTTGCATGCGCTACAACCACACACACACACACATTTTCAAACGACGCTTGGCACCCAGGCCTGGATCCCAAAACCGAAACAGACCTGCTTCTCCAATTGGGGTTTAGGGTTCAGAATCAGTGTCCTGGCAATCACCGTGATGGCCCCCATCTTGAAGAAGGTGAGAAAAGCACTGAGGCCCAGCAGCAGAAAATGCAGAATTCTTCTTCCTTGAAGCTAAATGAAGGCAGGATCCTTACTCAAACAGAATCCCTGCCCTGCATGGAAGGTCCTAGCTTTCCGAAAGCTGGCAAGCTGCCCGCTTGAAGTGAGGAGCTCAAACGCATCTCTACTGGGAACTCCGGGGCGGCGACTGTGGGTCCAGCCACTGGTTCAGCATGTCAACTGTATCCAACCAGTGAAAGTACCTGGGATATACAAAAACTCGGAGGTGGGATCACGAAGATGGGCACAAAGACTGGGCTCCGAGCATGAGGCCAACAAGGCCCGGAACGTAGTATGGTCGGAATCTATCCTGCCCAGAGCTTGGGTTACAGGGCCCCTCTCCACATTTCTGCTTAAGTCACGCCATCCTCGACATAGTGCCGGTACCTCCAAGCACTGAGCCATGGTATGCTGATCAGTTGACCCGCACAGAGTAGCTGAGTAGCGCACATTCTCTCAATCCAGTGCTTGTAGAAGTAGATGCTGCTGGCCAAGAACACAATTCCTGCCGCTCTCTTGCAGCGTGCGACGGAGTGAGCAGCTATCACCAAGCAACGAGCAAGCTACGATTTCAGGTTTTTGGGTTTAGGGTTCCGGGAGCAAGTGTCCAGCAGGATAGACCCAGTGGCCGAAGATAACAGGGTTTGTCGCGGCCAGCAGGTGAGCAATGTAGTAGACCGTCCAACCTGCCCCCACATTGATTTCTCCCTTCTCTATGCGGACTCTTACAATATACCATATCATGGTATACTATATCATAGTATACTGTATTAGATTATATTATGTTATACTATATTATGTATTGCACTATATTGAATTTCGGGGCACTCTTCGGAGGCCCCGGCCAGTCGTAGCATAGAAGGTGACTCGAAAGTGCGGGGCAAGAGTGCGGATGCCATCGAACCTGGAGGAAGACAATTTAGGGTTTGGAGTTTAGGGTTTAGGGGTTCAGGGGTTTTGCTTTTAGGGTTTGGGGGTTTAGGGGTTTAGGGTTTTTTGGGGTTTAGGGCTTTAGGGGTTTAGGGTTTAGGGCTTTAGGGTTTGGGGTTTAGGCAAACTGCACTAGGTAAGGATAGGAGCTGGGATTAAGGGGACCCTTGGGGATATAGACCCTCTCAATAAGGTCCCTTTCAAGAGAGCCATAAGTAGGGTTAAGAAGGGTCCCCTTTATGGGGTCTCCCCAATACTACCCAGGAAAGGAGTAGCAAAGCTTTTCACACGCGTTGATCTGTTGGAAGCTTAGGGATCTTTGGAGGGCGACATCGGGCTTTGACCGCTTTCCAAATTCGGAGAACTGCGACGCGAGAGTGGCAGTGTGGATCCCATAAGCGATTTAACGCTCATGTATGTCAGGATTAAGAACACGACGAACGCATCGGGGCAGTGAAAGATGCACGTCAACACGTGAGTGCACGTGCACGCCGCCGCGAAAGTTGCCTATGTCTCGCTTCAATCAGAGTGTCAGAAATACTTGTTGATACTTATGTATGTTCCTGCGGCGCGCTTCGGCAGGACTTCACAGCAGATAGCCGCTAGCCTGCTACTACGGCGGAAAAAGTTACGGCGATGGTAGAAGCTCTGCCAATTCGCTGGGCCTTGAAGCATAGATCACGGCATAAATCACAGCTGCGGCGTAGCACTCGAAGTCTGAGGGTGGCTGACCTGCGCAGAACCTGTCCAGAGCCGTGGAGCTAAGCGCAGAAATCGACCCATCGCTTGCAGCACAGATGTCATGTGTGCCTCACTAACTCAAAGAGGAAAAGGAGTCCAGAAGAAGCGCACGCCAGCCCATGCACGTTCGGCCTTCGGTGAAGCAACAGTCGAAACGAGTTCACAGGCTGCTGCTCCCATCTTGTCCTTGTAGTCGTCGTAGTGGTCTTCGCAGTGACTAGTGGTGTTCGTCGGCGTGGTGGTGGCGGTGGTGGTGGTGGTGGTGCTGGTGGTGGCGGTGGTGACGGTGGTGACGGTGGTGGTGGCGGCGGCGGTACTGGTGGTAGCGGCGGTGGTGGTGTTCGTCGTGGCGGCGGTGGCAGTGGTGGTGGTGGTGGTGGTAGCGGCGGTAGTGGTTGCGGCGGTGGTGTGGTGTTCGTCGGCGGTGGCGTCGTGGTGGTAGCAGTAGCAGTAGTAGTAGTAGTAGTAGTAGTTGTTGTTGTTGTTGTTAGTAGT